CATAGTACGGATTTTGATCAAATTCGTAGAATATTTCTAGCATGTGTGACCTATATGGTTGGAAAGATATACAAATTAAGCTTCTAACAAAACAAACGGTGCACAATTTGGACTTTCCAACAAAGAGTTATGATCAAATTGGTGAAATGTAGTCTGTTTGACTGATAGTTCTACTATACTTGTCCAACTCGAGTTTGGGTATCTTTTGTCACAAATTCTATCTCATACTCATCTCCAATATAGATAATATAACTTTCATAAAGATCCATGTCTATCATCATTTACAAACCAAAATTCAAATTACCATCCGTCTCTTGGAATAGTACAAAACGCATGATATAAAACTAGAATATACGTCCCAAAATTTTCGTCAATTCCTCAAAACTAGCTAATTCATGAATTCTAACAAATAATTAATCCCTAAGTTAACTAAGCAACAAATCACACATATCTTTTAAACATATAACTTTAAACAAATTCAACCCTAGAGTTTCTTTATCCGAACTTAATACTCCAGTGATAGTCCACAATCTACAGTTCTCATATAAGACCTAATTCTTAAACTCTGATACCAAAATTGTAATGCCCCAAAATCCCCCTTGAACGACATTACTATCTAAAATCATTCACATCATGAGAGCAACTAATAAAGTTCATAGTTAAAGAAAATTTTATTTCATCATCCATAATATTTACAACTTCATCCAAAAGAATAAGCCAAGTCACGGTCATTGCATCCAAAAGTATATGCCCAACTATGGCAATTACATTCTAAAAATTAACTATTATCGTGCATTGAAATAAGAAAAATATTAACATGAACATTATTTCAAAATAAACCTCTTAGTCTAGGACATAAAAAGAACAGTTCTAGACATTCCCCTCCGAGTCCACATGCCCATCAAGTTGCGCTTCCTAAGCTATCTGCTCGTTAGCTCTGAGCTCCTCCTCTAAACCAAAATCTAAAAAGAATGTTGTTTGTAAGGAGTGAACACTAAGCTTTGTAGGAAAATCCTCTCAAACTCGAACAAAGTTTCAAAAGCATATAAAACAGTCAATCTCATTTTACAAATATCATATATAACTTTTGAAGGAAAACATGGACATTTCAATGAATCTCAAGTTTATACAATACCAATAATTAAATGAAAAAGTAAAACCAATTCCCAAAAATAATAATTTCCAACAAGTTACCATTTTCACAATAACCAATTCCACATAAACTCCTTTCCATAATAAATCACAACCAACCATTTGCACAATAAACAATAGCCCACAATGTATCTTAGGTATGATATATGACATCATATGAATAAACACATCGAGAATATCTTAACCCACACACACACACATCTAATCCTCGTAAGGATACACAACTTTAGGAAGGGCGTATATCGACGCATCGGCAATGACGAATTTAACCCAAAAATAGTATACTAACCCTCAGCCTCGATACCACGTGAGCGAATAGTGGTTTGGCCCTCGCAAGGCACCAACCCCACTACGAGTGGTAAGAAAAATTCAAACCCTCACGGAGTAAGAAATACATCTACCCACTCTACGATACCCAGTCAATGGCCACCCATGGTCATCCAAACATCCACAAGAGATACAATACAAACCCATTTCCTCAAATTACAAGCAAATCCCAAAAATTCTCAAATTTCACATGTATTATTCCAATAGAACAATTTAAGAAAATATGCAAGAAATCATCAAAAATACCATTTTATTGTTCAATACAAAGCACTAGAGTTTTGAAATTAAGAACAAAGGAATATTGAGAGAAAAATTCATCTCTCTTGAAAACTAGAATTTCAAGACAAGAAAAAGAGGTTTCATGGCTATTATACCATAGCTTCCTTCAAAATATGATAATATTTGCAAGAGTATCAAGAAATAATGATTTCATAGCATATATATATATAGGATTGAGAATGAAAACATACATATATATATGCCCTAGCCTCAATAGACAAGAGTGGAAGGAAATCCCTACCTTCTTCCTTAGTTTTGTGTGAAGAACTTGAGATTTTAATCCACTTTAATGTAAAAATCCTCATTGATCTTGTGTTTTTCTTCGTCTTTCTTCCTCTCTAAGACTTTCTAGAGTTAGAAATGTTGAAATGATGCTAAAGGAGGTGCCCTTATGTATTTATAGGAGAAGAAAAGAGTTCAACCGATATAAATCTAATACTCTAATTCGTCGCTCACGTTCGAACGTCATTGGCGTTTGAACGTTAGTTGCCCCTAGTACTTTTGTTTTTTCATCAGAGACAAAGTACTGGAACGAACTGTCGCTCAAACAGACTTTCATGTTCGAACATAGGTCGTTCGAACAGACTTTCACGTTTGAATAGACTTCCTATTTCTACTGAAACTTCCAGTTTAATTTTGGCCTATTTAGAGATCGATTTGAAAAATTTTCGTGATATACACATTTTTAGATCTGGAAGTCTATTGTCTATTGTAAAAATTTTAGCTCAAACGAACATCATGGTAAAAAGTTATGATCCAAATATTAAGGTAGTGTCAAATTTCTTTCTACCCAAATTCTTTCTAGAATGTGCTTTAACTCCGAAATATTTCCTAACTTCTAATACACCCCATATTACTTCTCCCAATGTTTCTCAACCTTTCGGATTCAATTGAGACTTTATCTTGACCTAAAAATATTTAGAAACTTACCTAATTACTGTTCTCAATGTTAAAAATATTCAAAACTAAGTTTGACCCAAAAGTCATTTCATCTGAAACTCAAAATTCATGATCAATTTTTCAACAATGATTCTAAGTTTTTACCATTATTTTATTCATCTTAGGAGAACTCTTAAGATAATAGTATCTTTATTTAATTTTTAATGTGGGGTCTTATAATATTCCCACTTCCACTCAACCAGCTCCAAAGGCTAGAGCAATCCAGCAGGTCTCTGGTGTTCGGCCATAACTAGTTGACACATGAGACATCTACTGACAAAGTCTCATATATGTCTCTTCATTTCACTCTAATAATACTCAATGATCAAATATTCATTTCGGTGTATTGTTTCTGTCACCTAGAAAATTAAAATGTTTCGACATATTTCAAAAATATTTCGACGTGTTTCAGAAACGTTTTGACCTGTTTCGGAAACATAATGAAAAAAATAAAAAATTCAAGAGTTATTTTTTCAAAACATTGATCAAAATATATCAAAGTAACTTGAAATACTTTGAAATATTTCGAAATAATTATGCAAATGCATTGAAATATTTCAAAACATCACGAAATATTATGAAATATCTCAAAATATTAAATTTCGATTCCATCACTGATTCGTTTCGGTCTCCTTGAAAACGGAAATGTTTCGACCTTTTGGACTGTTTCAAAACGATATTTTGATCCTTAGTAATACTGACGGCAAAAATCATGATACATCTTTAACATTGTGATAACCTAACAAAATTGGAAGAAAAAGACAAGTACTAAAAGGCATACTTCAAGGTATTAAACAAAATAGGAAGAATAAGCCATGAAAAGACAGAAGACATTAAAAGGCAAAAGGCACAAAGGCATTTCAACGTGGACATTCCATCCTACGTCGGAAAGCCTTATGTTATCTCTGCTCTTTATTCAAATTTAAATTTGAGTAAAAATAAACTAAAAATAAACTTCAATTTTTGACTCAAATTTATATCAAATAAAGAGAGACTCAATATTTTACTTAAATTAAAGCAGACTCAAATATTTAGTCAAATCTTTAATAGTTAAATTTTACTCTTTTAAAAAATCAAATGATCATATTTTACCTTCTTTTAAATTTGAATTTGCCCTTCTTTAAATTTGAGTTTGTCCATTGGAGAAGTCTATACCAAATTAAACTTTTTACTCAATTTTTAACTCAAATTTGAGGTTTAGTTTGAATCAGCATTGGAAATGCCCAATAAGAAGAGAGAAGCAATATGCGCCTATCAACAGTATGCTTTAGTCATAGCCTCACGTTCAAAAAAGTTGTTTTTGACCCCACCTGATTTATGCAAAGGATTTAGTTCATCCAGGTTTCTTAAAAATCGCCCGCCTTGGGAGTTTGCCAGGTGGATTGGTTAGACGATCTAACATATGAGCTAGTCGGGCTTAGCCCCCGTTTAGCTGGGTTTCTGAGNCACCTGATTTATGCAAAGGATTTAGTTCATCCAGGTTTCTTAAAAATCGCCCGCCTTGGGAGTTTGCCAGGTGGATTGGTTTGACGATCTAACATATGAGCTAGTCGGGCTTAGCCCCCGTTTAGCTGGGTTTCTGAGTTGACCAAGCGGGACTGGGCTGACTAATAGCACTGATATATCCCCTCTATGAAAGAATACGCCTTACATACCTCACACCTCTATATACCAATAAATCACTTCCTTGTATACATTTTATAACTAAATCTTATTAGGTTCCCAAATTTGAAGACAAACCAAAGTTGTTCATGTTAATTTTTTTACATAGGCATTCCTCATGCAAGAGAGACAGACTTCTTTTCTTCTAATTTTTTGTTTAAAGAAGATAAACATCTCTAAAACACAGTAACATTAAATTCACTATACAAAATAAACTCTAGATATTTGTAATCATAAACTAACCAAATGTATTTGTTAAACCCGAGAATCGGTAGTGAAAATTGAACACAGGACACCTATATGTTTAATTCCCTCTAACTTAACCCACACCAATAGATTACTCGTGCGAGTTTGCAAGTAGAGATTTCACTTGTGTTTATTTAGACCAATGAATAAAATACTCAGGCACAACAAACTACCATAACTGCACATTGCTGCACTCTTTCATTAAATTGCTCTCCTCAAATCGGGAATTTTACAGCTTCCTTTCAGCAGATGCTCAAAATAATTACCCTGCACTAAAACAAAAACCTAAAATTACAACCAACATTTCACCAGGCATAGAATGCACAACTCCTAGGACCACCAACCAGCTTCAAAGGAACAATGAAAGGTAATACAAAAAAAAAAAAAAAACAATTAAGCCCATATTTCTAGCCTGCCTCTATGCCTTGCCCAAATACCGTCCAACTGATTTTATCAAATGCGAGAGGGGATTTAGTTCACAGCCAGACTGGCCAGGATGATGGAAAATACCACCTCAAAAATGCTGTCAGCAGTCGGTCTGGGTAGAGATGGCAACCCAGAACCCCAGTATAGATACAACTAACACCTTCAGGCAGTCAATGCAACAATCGTCATCTGGTGATACACAGAACTCTAGTGCCCACAGCTCTATTCTGTTTTAGGTACTTCTTTACAGTCTTCCAACTGTAAGGCTTCACCGAGGTTCTCAGACAGTTTCTTAATCGAAGCATCAGCAAGTTCAACTGAATCATTTTTAGTTGAACTGACTCGCTGTCTGGCCTTCTTTTCCTGGAAAGTCATCTCCCTCTCATCATAAAAATTGAAATCATCTAGAATGGATGTCTCGGCATCATAATCCTTGAAAATTTTCAGCATCTCAATACCCTGTTCCAGTTTCACCTGGAGGAAAAATTTTTATTGAAAAAACAGCATCAAGAGACAAAAGTCAAGTGGGTTTATGATGAATCAAAAGTTACTTTCAATGTTGTAGGGTGTGATATATACACACATGCACACAATGAAAGACTAATATTTATCTTGATCGTACTTAAAGAGAAACAGGGTTTTAATACATCAAGTCTGGTGCTCTATAAGAAAGGATGAAGAAGGGAGAGAAGGACGTGCAATGCAACAAGAGATAAAGAGTTTTGATGAAGTTCAAGCTTCAAGAATAAGAAATCACCACAAAAAGAGGTTTGAATCATTGAGGAATGAAGTAAATGCTGAAAGAAAATTCATGCTGCCAACCCAGGTTAGGTCAGACAAAAGCTTCAATTCGAAGTGACTGCATTTTTGAGGATGTAATGCTGACATGGGAAAACCAGCATAAATTCAAAGATAGTCTAGCTCATATGGAGGATACTAACATCAAGACCTACACCAATTAACCAATGTGTCTCAGCAACCTCAGAAGTATGAACTACAGAACTCGACAACATTACATCAAGTAACATCTGCTAAAACTGCAAAAGCTCAAGTGACCATAGGCAACTAACCAATCTACGTAACCATGCCCAAAAACTAAAGACTCCTAAAGTTCCCATTAAAAGAGATGACAAACATAATAGGCAGTACAAATTAGAATCAGTTGGTAAAAAGAAGAGATATGTTAATTCAGTAATACCTCTTGAGAGTCCCGGCTGTGAGTAACAGGTTTGTTTTCATTATTTTCAAGAAGTATGTGGCGGAACTGACTGTTAGGCACATCTTTAATAATATGCCACTGGACAGGGAATTGGCCACTCCACCTATCCTGCTGCCAGTAGTCAGCATCATTATCAAAATCAACAGGTCCAACCATTTCAGCTGTCCCACAGAATTGTCCACTTGCATTGACCTACATATATTTGTGACGAATATTTAGAAGACCAAAATCAAATGTCAATTCGGATTGCAAAACAAAAAACAAATAAATACATATCTAATATAAGCTTGTGGATTTTCTATAGCTACCTATCAAATTGTTAAGAGGAAGGTAACAAATACTTAGTTCCTTTGCTTGTAGGCAAGCATGAGGTATTTCCATTCATCCTATCCATGCAAAGAGAAACAAGTAGAAAGAAGGAAACTCAGTATATACATTTGTCATCAACCTACTAAATGCATAAACAGATAGCTGGATTTAAAGCTTCAACCATCAACTACACAAGTAAATGCATCCTTTAATATAAAGTTACGTACTTATATATCACCAAAATTCAACAAAACAGACTAGCTCCTGATAAAGATCCTTAGAGGACCATACATATGACAACACCATCCGAGATGCTTCTTGCAATCAAGGACAGCTACCTCAAGCTTGATGTACTCCTCATTCTATATTCACAATAACCCTAGTACAACAATCTATGTCGCTGGTCCGTTGCAGCTTATCAAGTCTGTGTTGTTTATCATTGAAGCCTACTAGTCTAATTTTTTTTCCAAATTCCTAAGAAAGTGTCCAGGCAGCTTGAACGATGAGGTCCTTCCTACGGTTTTGCTCAAGCTTAAAGCACTCGGGGGCAAGGATAGCTTGGGAAGAAGGTGGTATGCAGTGAAGGGATGGAATAAAGCAGTCATGCATAACTCAAGTAAATCTTTATAGGATTATGGCTTTCGAGACTTTAAAATTCCCAAAGACTCTGCTTGGTGTTGGAGGAAAATCCATCATCTTAGTGTGGTATCCTAAGTTGATCTCTAGAGTTTCCATCATCTTTTGGATAGCCATTCAAGAGAAGCTAAGCACCCAAGATAGACTCCTTCAACTTGGTTAAATCAACTAAATGAGTTGCGTTNTTCATCATCTTAGTGTGGTATCCTAAGTTGATCTCTAGAGTTTCCATCATCTTTTGGATAGCCATTCAAGAGAAGTTAAGCACCCAAGATAGACTCCTTCAACTTGGTTAAATCAACTAAATGAGTTGCGTTTCTTGTTGCTCCAATGTTGAATCACATGATCACCTTCTTTACTGTTCCATTTACTTTCAGAATCTGGTGAATGCTCTCGCAGATGCATGACTTACAACGACAACAGAGATTTTGGCAAGAAACAGTGCAGTGAGCGCTTTGAAGGATGAAAGGCAAATCCTTGGAAGTTTTTTCGACAAAGTTCTCCTTATGTTTGTATAAAATATATGGCTGGAATGAAATGTAAGTTGGAATGCTAATAACTTCTTAGATTTGGTTAGTCTATCCAAGAAGATTATGGTCCAGGTGAAGAAAAAGTTGGCAAGCTTCAAGATATTTCAAGCGACAGCAAGGAAACTATAGCTGAAAGGTAAATGGAGCCTACCAGATCACTGTTTGACTAAATTTTCTGTTTTATCATTTTTGTTTATTAAGAGCTATGTAATTAGGCTAAGAGTAATTAGCTAGCTTTTATATGTGTTGGGAGTATTATTATGTAATTAGTTTAATACAATTGTAATAAGTATAACACGTAAAAGGTATACTAGTACTTTGTATGTTTACAAGGTAACTATAAATATAAGTCATTAGTGAGCAGTATGTTAAGTTTGACCACTCTCAGTTTCTCTAATATTGTGTTAATCCTCCAAACCTAACATGGTATCAAAGCAATGGATCCAAAGTTAATGTGCAATTAACCTAAAGCCTTCTAATCATCTCTGTCATCTTCCACAAGATTTTCTTTCTAACCATCGCAATCACCTTCGCCTTCTCTTCTATCTTCTTCTTTTCTGCAGCCTTTGCACTCATGGCCATGGACTAGGGTTTCTGTCTAACCCAATGGTCATGGGTTGTGTTATATTGGTATCATTGTTGTCGTGGTGATAGTGTTGGAATTAATTTTCAACCGAAGGTTGTTTGTTGTTGTTGTCGGCGTCCAGTGTTGATCGTTAGTCACAGCCTGCGCGTCACCACAGCTAGGGTTTCTTATTATTGCTGTGAAGAAGACGAAGCACAGGACGCGACTGCACTTCAGGTTATAAACCAAGGGTTTGGTTATATTAATAAACCAAAACTTAATTTAAATATAACCCAACTTTCCATTGTTCAAGCCCAAGACTCAAGCCCAGTGCTCCAGCCCACTGTTCCAGCCCACTATCCAAGCCCATTGTTCCAGCTAGTTTCAAACCCAGACTATTTCTTGTCCAGTTTGTTCTGTTCCAAGCTGGTTCAAGTCCGGTTCCATCAGTTCCAGGCCAGTTCGGTCCTGGTTCCAGGTTTCTTGTTCCCTGGTTCAGCCGCTTTACTACACCGGTTCAGCAATTCAGTCCACTTTTTTGGTCCGGTTCAGTTGTGAAGGCTATATACTGGTCTTTGCTCCTACACTCATTGTAGTCGTAGAGGGCACACTGTTGATTTTTGTTAGAATTTACATGGAAAACCTTCTGGTGCTGCTAATCAAGTCTTCTCTCAGGATGACACTTCCTCTCTCCCGCTCCCAGCTCACAATCAGCTCCGCTTGACTTTAAGTTACTATTACACGAGACCAGTATGCTCAGTTCATGTTTCAATAGCAGTCTACTTCATCCTCTTTCACTGCTACTTTTGTCCAATCAGATATCGCTTCCATTTGTTTACTGTCCTTCACCCACAGTCCCTAGATCATAGACTCCGGCACTTTTGTCCCCAAGACTGGTTCGACAGGTGTTTTTTCTACTTATCATTTTGTAAGTGTATCCTTTCAATCTTGAGTTAATAATCGTGTGTCTAGTCCATTGGAGTTGGTGCATTCGGATGTATAAGGTTTAATAAAGAATATTTTATCTAATAAATATCCTTATTTTATGTCGTTTGTAGATAATTATTCTCGTGTGACTTGATTATTTCTTATGAAATCTCGTTCTAACTTATTTTCTATATTTGAGACCTTTCGTAAAAAATAAAAATCCAGTATGATTGTCGTGTTCGTATTTTAAGTTCTGATAATGCTTATGAATATGAATACGATCCCTTTTCAGTTTATCTTTGTAAAATTAGTATTATTCATCAGACTTCCTGTGCTTACACATCTCAGCAGAATAATGTTGTTAAACAAAAAAACCGTCGTCTGGTAGAAGCTACTTGCGCACTATTATTCAGGATGAATATTCCTCGTTGTTTTGGGAGTGATGTTGTTCTCATTACTTGTCACTTTATTATCGTATGTCATCTTCAATGTTAAATGGGCACAATCCATATTCTTTCTTTTTTTCCGACACTCTTATTTTCCTTAACTCCAAAGATTTTTGAATGTGTCTGTTATGTTTATAACTTGAAATTTGCATTTGATAAACTTGATTCTCGTGCTACCAAATATTTCTTTCTTGAATACTCCCGCACACAGAAGGTGTATCGATGCTATAATCCTACCCTTCATCGATACTTTACTAGTGCTGATATCACTTTTTATGAATCTGTTCCATATTTTTTGGCACTTGCTCAACCTTTAGATCTAGACTTTGGACCGTCCACTACACCATAGCCCCCTCCCTTACACCATCGATTATCCCGCTGCCTACTACGCTATCATCTACTACCCCATTCCGCGTATACTCCCGTCACCCGCGATCATTGATTGAGGTGCCCCTTCCATCTTCCTTGCCATCTCATGATCCTAGTCCTTCAGGTACTTCCGATTCTTTATCTGTTTCTCGTCAAAAAGGTACTCAATCATGTATTACTAACTATCNTGAGGTGCCCCTTCCATCTTCCTTGCCATCTCATGATCCTAGTCCTTCAGGTACTTTCGATTCTTTATCTGTTTCTCGTCAAAAAGGTACTCAATCATGTATTACTAACTATCCCATTGCTAATTTTATTTTTTATAATGTCTTGTCTCCTGTCTTCTCTTGTTTTACCTCTCAATTGTCTAGTATCTTTATCCCTAAGCACTTACAGTGTGCGTTGTCTCATCTGAATTGGAGGAAAGCTATGAAAATAGAGATAAATGTCTTACATCATAATAGGACTTGGGATCTTGTTCCTTTACCACCTAGTAAACGAATTGTTAGTTGTCGATGGGTGTATACTGTTTAATTTAATTTAGATGATTTTGTTGAGCATCTCAAAGCCTGTCTTGTTGCTAAGGACTTTACTCGAACCTATAGTGTTGATTATGAGAAGATTTTTACTCTTGTTACCAAAATCTCCTTTGTTCGTATATTGATTTATTTAGCTGCTAATCTTAATTAGCCATTGTTTCAGTTAGATGTTAAGAATGTCTTCTTATATGGTAACTTGGCTAAAGAGATCTACAAAGAGCAGTCACCAGGATTTACTATTCAGAAGGACTATTGTAAGAGCGTGTGTCGATTAAAGAAATCTTTGTAGGAGTTGAAGCAATCACCAAGGGTATAGTTTGGTAAGTTTTTCAATGCAGTTTTAAAGTTTGGTCTTCTCGATGTCAAACAAACCACTTTGTGTTCTATAGACATACTGATATCATATATATTCTATTGGTTATTTATGTGAATGATATTGTAATTACTGGAAATGATTTCGAGGGTATTACCATGTTAAAAACCTTCTGACCGGACCGATTTCACACTAAAGGCCTACGAAAACTCAAGTACTTCTTGGGTATTGAGGTTGAAAAACCTAAATAGGGTATTTGCTTATTTCAGAGGAAATATGTACTTGACATGCTAGAAGAACCAAATTTTCTGCTGACAGACCAATTGATGTTCCTATGAATCCGAATCAGAATTGTTGATCGATGATGATGCACTGTTTGAAAATACATGTCAGTGTCGCACGTTGGTTAGGAATATCAATTATCTCATTATTACTCGGTCAGATATTGCCTATATAGTTGGTAAGTCAGTTTATATAGGATGTCCTAGAGTACTACATTGGGAGGCAATTACTTGCACTTTTCGATACTTCAAACGTGCTCCTAGTCTTGGATTATTGTATCGAGTTAATGGACATCTTAGATTGAAAAATTTTCAGATGTTGATTGGGCTGGTTCTCCCTCCGATCGAAAATCAACTACTGATTATTGTACTTTCTTGAGAGGTAAAGTTATAATATAGAAAAGTAAGAAACAAACGGTAACAAGATCCAGTGGAAGCTAAATATAAAGCAATGGTACATAGAATTAGTGAGTTGACATGATTACTACACTCTCTTCGAAAAATTGATTTTTTAGTTCAACTTTCTTTACAAATTGTTTGTGATAATCAAACAGCTATTTATATTGTTGTCAATTAGTATTTTATGAGAGCACCAAACATATTGAAGTTGATTGGCACTTTATTCGAAACAAGATAATTACTGCAGATATTGCAACTCTGGAGATCAACTTGTAGAAATATTTACCAAAGTATTGAGTTGTACTCGTCTTACAGCCATTTGTTCCAATCTTGTATTATATGATATGATATATATTTCAGCTTGAGGGAGAATGTTGAGAGTGTTATTATGTAATTAGTTTAATATAGTTGTAATAAGTGTACCACGTAAAGGGTATACTCATACTTTATATGTTTACAAGATAACTATGAATACAAGTCATTAGTGAAAGGTAGGTTAAGTTTGACCACTTTCCATTTATCTAATATCTTGTTAACTCTCTAAAGCTAACAATATGCATGCAGTAGACTACGATGGTGGCCAATCTGTGACGAGAAGGCAAACCATCCTTGAGGTGTCTTTAAGATTCTAGAATGTTGTTATTTTGTCTCAATGTGTAGGCATCCATTCTTGCTTGTAAAACTTTCCTTTTGATCAATGGAATATATATTTACCACTAGAAAAGAAAAAAAAATGTCCAATGAGCCCTAGCTGGGCATACTCCCACCCGAATCCCAAGGGGCTGTTTGGTAAGGGGGTATTAGAGGGGTTGACAAGATGAGTTTGGGAAAAATAGTCCAAAAAACCCCCAAACCCCATGTTTGGATTGAAAATTCAATCCTGGATTCCCAAACCTGGCTTGCAGCTGGCCCAAATATTAAATCCATGATTATAGGTTTCGTCAAACCTAGGGGGTGGGTGGGTTTGGGAAGATGGGTTAAAGAGTTAAGGATAGAAAAGACAATTGTATCCCTTAACATGGATATGAATTAGATTGATCAAAAGAAAAAGACTCATTTACAGGACAAATAGTTATTAATAATTATGATATATTTGTGGATCCTATATATATATATATATATACCAAATATGGGTATAAACCAGATTCAATGTTGAATCTCATCTTTGTAAAAAAGAGTTTTGGTTTGAAAGGGTTTGAAAAAGCCAATCTAAACCCTCCTCAAAAATCCATCCAAACAAGTCTCAAAAAATTGTGTGGTTATAGATACAACACAACCATCATAAAAATGGAAAAACTACTTTTGATTGCCTTTCATATCATTGCTAAATGCTTTAAGATAGAAGCTTTAATCTACATTGTTAAAGAATCCAACTCAAAACCAATTGAAAACAAGTGAAGAAACTCCCGGTCAAAAGGCTTATCTACTAGCTTGGGAGGTGTTACTTTTATCGTGTGGGAGAAGTTCTAACACCTCTCCGCACAAATGACCCCACCCGAACATGGAGAGATAAATACAAGAATCAAAATACAAATTCAAAGACATAACATAGCACTTGTGGTATGGACAAAAGGAGAACCAATTAACAAATTGATGCAAAATGAGTCTTGCCTAAAATCTTCCTTAATTTAGATTGATGCCACCACCTTAAAGCATTCAACTCAAAACCAAATGGTAATGAGTAAAGAGGTTCATAAGGTTCAATACCAGTTTGGAAGGGAATTATTTTTATCAATGTGTATATCTTCCCCAAAGTGTGCTCCTCAAATGCTAATCACACAAAGGAAATTTAGAAGATATTTTTTTTATCAAATGAATAACCCTAATCTTCTATACAACAAAAGAGACCTGTGGAGAGCTTTACAAAATAAAAATTAAAAAAGAAGGGAGATAACTTTTAGATATTTTCAAAATTAGACATTTAGTCCAACCCCACCCCTAACCCAAACCCAAAAAAAATAAAAGCAATCGAGAACAGAAATCCCTCCACCTTATATTTCATGGACCAAAATTCTATAATCAGTCCAATTGTCATCTAATACCAAGTTTGGACTAAGTTACAATTCTCAGTATTCAAGATATTTGTTGGTGAAAGTAGCATTTAACACCCCATACTTGGTATGAACTAATACCATATAATAGATGGTATGAATTGTGGCATGAATGCATGATTAGTATTAATACCCAATGACAAGAGTGTCCTTATAGACTAAAGATTTATGCATAGATGTAGGGTGCTATTGTCTTGTTAAACTTAATACCATACATCCCTCATCCAAACAAGAGATTGGTATTAGAATAATAGACATACAATTGATCTAAACCTTGATCCAAACATGATTTAGTTAGGATAGCATAAAGTGGTTGACCCATTATGACTACCACTATGGATTGGAATGGAATCAATTGTCCAATCATATCTAATGCTACACCTACACCAAACACGCCCTAAAGCTATCTAATCACCGGCCTTCAAATCCCTAGGATTTATTCATATCAATGGCTCGTCTCATTATCTTCTCCTCAAAAGTATTAGGACTAGGCTCCATTTCCTCAATTTGTTGGAAAAGCCAAAAAAATCAGAGTTCAACCAATATCAGAGTTCAACCGACATACCGAAAACAAGAGAAACACAGGACAACTCCCGTTAATCTTCTTTGCGTCACCATAAGCAGCATCTAATTTTCTGTTTCCGAGAGGTGTGCTGGCCCAAGCACTGTATTTGATACTTTTGTGGACATTGTCTTCACTAAAAGACTTGATGACAAAAAACTTGGCATTGTCGTAATGTGAGACAAAATCTGGCTCATTGAACAGATCAGCATGAACCCCTGAATTAGATGCAATGATTTTCCTAGCACCAGTTGAAGGGTTCTCTTCACTAGCACCCTTGTCCTTCGCCTTCGAAGCCCTTGGTCCTCGATTACGATCACTGGTAATACCATGTGTATCACCAGAAATGCCAATCGAGTTGCGGTCCCTTTCTCGTCTTCCACCTTTATCAAGATTGAGTCGGTTCATGTGATTAGCTTCCCAATGAGGAATAGATCCACTACCATAGTTTGGGCTACAATGTGAGCCACTGTACAGGTAGCGTCCTGCAGAGGAACTTGATGCCAATCCGTATCCATAAAATGGTGTCTGTTGTTGAGAAAACTGCAATTGAATAAGAAGTCAGCACCTATATATCAAGGGCCCAACAAGTCCACATAATTTACAGAATCATAACCTGTTTTTGAACAATTGAATGTGACACCAAAGCCAAGAGAGTGAAATGTTACTATCACCATTGGTAACACCATAATAGTGCCCACAAATGTTGCATTGCTATAGGAGCAACAAGAACAATGCTCAGTGTATCTACACAGTTTCCAAGATCAACACTCACCCAGGATCTAGAGAACATGGACCATCGTTGATAAAATGCAAGTTTTTTAAAAATATAGCAAAGAAAATTAGTACCTATGTAAGAAAAAAAAAATAATTGAAACAAAAACGCAAATTCTTGATTTTGATTTTAACCGGCAAATAATCCAAAGCAACCCAACTTGGCCTCTAAGTAAACAGCTTTCCCAGCAATAGTATTTATAAGCCACTTAGTAAGTAGGAAGCATTTCAATAGCAATCAATTTTGGGAACAGGGTTTCCAACTGAGCTGAAATTTTCTATGTATTGTTTTGTTTCTACTTCAGTCTTCCACCATACCAATAGCCCTGCCGAGAAAAAATGCCAAAACTAGAAAACTAACACATGATAGCAGTTCTCCAAAATCAGGGNCAGTCTTCCACCATACCAATAGCCCTGCCGAAAAAATGCCAAAACTAGAAAACTAACACATGATAGCAGTTCTCCAAAATCAGGGTTTGATCAACTGTGAAAAACTTCCCTGTTACTTGGAAGTGTGCTTTTGGTCCCTTTGTAAGGGCGGGTGGGGCAAATGAAGACAATGAAGTACAGGTACCATTTCATGACCTACCTAAAAGAAGTGCCAGAATATTCTTTCACATATGCAGATTGTTTCCCCAATTAAAACTTGCAACATGTGGTCATTTCAGGCAAAAAAAAACATTTAAATGTTTTAGTCCATTTTAAGTTCCTAAAGGTTTATCAACCAGATTTTTTTCTAAGAGCCATGAAGCTTATATTAGAAAGTAGAAAACAGAGCACACGCAAATTAAAGCAATGGAAGAAAAACATCCTGTCATAGCTCATTAGGACAAAAGAACAAACTAAGAAACCAAAAATCACAGAACCAGTAACACATCAAGAGCACTCTAGTGAGTCTAATCCATAATGATCTCCAATGAAGATTTAATGGAGAAAATGGGAAAGCCATCAAACTGCTTGGTCCCTGAAGCCCACAAGGATGCCAAAAAGTGAACTATACCCCTTATACAGTCATCAACCTCACTCTTGCCACCGCTCCAGCCCAATGACCCATAGGATGGGTCATTTTTGTGAAGATAGGTCAAACAAACCAAAACTTCAAATGAAGGTTAGGTCGTTTTAGTGAAGAGAGTTTGTATCCTACATGTAAAGATTTGGACCACCAAAGGTTAGTTGATATGGTTGAAGGGCCTCTCCACCTATTTCCTATTGGTTTCGAGTTGAATGCCTTTAACATGATACCAGAACTGGTTTGAGATAGACAGTGAGTCAAATCTCACGCATTTGGATGTCCTGGTACACTTGTTTGTTAATGTATGTGCGACCTCAGGTCACGTGGGGGTAGAGTGTGATGAATCAAAAAAGTAGTGCTACCAAAGATTGGATTATGTAGTTGAAAGATTTCTTCACCAATTGTCAATTGTTTTGAATTACATGTCTCTAACTTGTGAAGAGAGCTTTTAACCCACTTTGAAAGCTTAGGATCACCTAATGTTGGTTTCAATGGTTGAGCCCCATCCATTACCAGTTAATTTTGAGTTTGATGCATCATAGTACCAAAGTTGGGGCTTGGGTGGTCATGAGCTAAGTCCCTCCCCCATATTAATTCCCTTGTTTTGGATCTGTTTGTCATCCCATGTACGACCGGGGTCGCAATTGAGGAAGAGTATAAAGAGATTTTTGTATCCCACTTGAAAAGATTAGAAATTCCAAAGGTTGTTGTTTTATATGGTTGAGGAACCTGTACACCCAAGTCCAATGATTTTGGGTTGGATGCTACCGGTAGGTTGGTCTTCCCTGGCAAATAGTATTTTATTTTGTGAACAGAGAGATCTTGTATCCCACTTGGAAAGATTTAACCAACCATCAATGGAAATTTAACAGAAAAAAACCTAAAAAATACTGTCAGTAAAATATTCAAATATATTTTGTTACTTATCTAGTTATGAGTCTATTTAATAATTAATGTTATAAAATATTTCTGACCAAAAACAATATATATATTCAAATATAAGAAGGGTAGGCACATGAAGTGGACTGGTAACACAAGACACTTTAAAAACCCCAATATATCCTAAAGGGGAAAGTAAAAGGAAAAACTTAAAGTTTTACTCCTACAATCTACAAATGGAATGCACCAGTTACGAAATTATATTCGATTATGTCATGCTAATTCCAACCAAGAATATAGGTCTGCAAATAACTTATGCAATAAGAAATCAGTTGGCTCGAAGGACCATTAAAGCAACCTCAGATAGTAATCCACACTATGTGGGAACACTAAACAAAATTTGAGAACAAATACAAACTACTTGGGCATACTAAACAAAAACTCTAGCAAGAGTAAAAACAATATATCTATTATCTGCCAAGGTGGCCCAAGCACTATACCTAAAGTACTCATCACCTGTATTATCTACACTTCCTTGCTGTGACCATTAGACAACCATTTTTTATTATAAGTTTGACATCATTGTGGAGTGCAAAGTGAGAAGTCAGTACTACTTTTCACTATTTATTTATGATGGTTGATGGCAGCGGTGGTAAGCGGTCATGACACGGTTAATAATAACAATCATAAATGACGATAAATACTTTCTTTCGAATCAAGGAACCTGAGTCAGCACAAAGGGCATCAATAGCTTAAAAAACAACCTGTGCAATATTATACTCATNTAATTATTCATAATGAACCGAATATATCACTGTTTTGTCGAAACGGTTCGAAACAATGCCGTTTCGACCGAAACGGTCCGAAACAGTACCGTTTCGACCGAAACACTGGAATTTTGTGATTCAACTACTGTTTCGTTTCGGAGTGTTGAAATTCCGAAACGTTTCGGACGTGTCGACACGACATTTTGATCCTTGATTCCAACCAAGAATATAGGTCTGCAAATAACTTATGCAATAAGAAATCAGTTGGCTCGAAGGACCATTAAAGCAACCTCAGATAGTAATCCACACTATGTGGGAACACTAAACAAAATTTGAGAACAAATACAAACTACTTGGGCATACTAAACAAAAACTCTAGCAAGAGTAAAAACAATATATCTATTATCTGCCAAGGTGGCCCAAGCACTATACCTAAAGTACTCATCACCTGTATTATCTACACTTCCTTGCTGTGACCATTAGACAACCATTTTTTATTATAAGTTTGACATCATTGTGGAGTGCAAAGTGAGAAGTCAGTACTACTTTTCACTATTTATTTATGATGGTTGATGGCAGCGGTGGTAAGCGGTCATGACACGGTTAATAATAACAATCATAAATGACGATAAATACTTTCTTTCGAATCAAGGAACCTGAGTCAGCACAAAGGGCATCAATAGCTTAAAAAACAACCTGTGCAATATTATACTCATACGGCCCAAGTATGCCAACTGGCTGGGGATATAATGCCGCTGATGTCACTGGGGACATATAGTTGCCCATGTCCGAGAGACTAGCTTGATTTGACAGTTGTTCTCCAGATCCAAAATGGAGAAAATACCCTGATCCTTGCCCAAAACGCAAATTCTCATCGAGGCCCTCTTGGCCACTATTTCCTGGTGCCATCAGCTCAGTTTGTGACATAGAAAGATCAGAAGTAACATGTGGCATGCCAGGAGAAAGTGACCTTGGGAAGTAAGGTGGAGACAATGGAAACTGATGTGGAGAGTACAACTGGCCATCTAAAATTACTGGGGAAAGACTGGCCATGGGGGAAACCTGTCCGTATGCCATCTGGGTATCAAAGCCATAACCAGGATGCAACAAGAGTGAAGGATAATCATTGTACATTACCTACATCAGGCAAACAGAAGAAGGAACATCTGCTGAGTTCTATACAAAAAACAAAGAGAGAAAGAAGCAAAAAGTATATAAAAGATTGATCCTCACCGGAGGTACAACTTGCAAGTTGTTGGCATTAACGTAGTTAGGTAATTCACTCAGATTACCAGTGCTCTTTTCATAACCTGAAGCCCATGCAGCAATAAGATAAATAACCCTGAAAAGTATACACTACCGGAAGAAGCACAGCAGAACTAAGAGAAGCACAAACAATAACTATAGTTATATCTTTGGGTTTCAAATCAAAATAATATCTACATGGAGTAAAAGAAAAATCAAGCTACTTCAAGTTGTTTTCATTAATATTCCTTTACAGCCCATACGATTTCAGAAAAAAAAAATGCCTACATCATGGGACTTTGAATTGTCAACATGTACACACGTCCATAGCAACACAAATTCTGGTTGAGGAATATCTCACCCAGAATCCTCAGCATCCCAAATAGAAGCATTAAGTGATATGGAGTGAGTAGCTACATAAAAAGTTACTGACCTCCATTATAAAAGCTCTGCCCCTGAGGAGAATAAGTATCATATGGGTAGACAGTATTAAAAGCTCCACTTGTATTGAAGGTTCCGGGATAATCTGTGGCATTCTTTGAAGGCCTTCTGATGGCTGCACCCAGAGAAGGATTTGAAGAAACAATCCTTTCATCTTTGGGCGAAAGTGGCTGATAATAAATTACAAATGAAGTACTAATGCAACATATAACCCAATATTAAAAAAAAAATAATGGAAATAATTGAGATAGCAAATGTGATCGCCAACCAAATACCTTTTCCATCAAGTTATCAGCCACAAGAGGTCTCTCACCTACATACGATGTCAAAATTAATGAATTCATATGATATAAGAAAATTTGATAAAACATACAAGCATTAGGGAAAGAAATTGTGTACTTCTACCATGCATAGTGAATATCTATGCACAATGCACTATATCATTCCAATAAGAAGTATTTATTTGCTTACTCAGAAACTGTAGTCACATAGAAAGCAAGTAAAATTAAGCATTTAGAAATCGGACAACATCTCAACTCAATCCAATTCAACAAAACTTTGTCCCAACAATTTGGGGTCGGCTACATGAATCCTAATTCGTCATCGTGCTCGATTAAGGGTCATAATGATTATTAAATCATACGCTGTCATATTCTTTTTTGCTATCTCATTTCAAGTCAATTTATGTTGCCATATACCCCTTGCATTATTGTCGATAGGAATCGTATCACTCTTGCTTACTCGTGTAGTAATAAATATGTCTACATCACTTGAGTTGATTCTCTCTTAATCTATCTCTTATTGATGCTAATTGTACTTTCATTACAAATATACTAATTCCTAAATTCATTTCTTTCTCATTTTACCACCAATCCATCTTCATGTCCCCATTGTCCGTCTTACAAAATTTTGAGCATGTTCTTTTTTGATTGTCTAGCATAATGCACAACTGGAATTATTGCAATCTTGTGGAACTTGTCTTTCAAATTAAGATGTATGTGTAGACCACACAATACAGCAAATGTATTCATCCATTCAATCCATCATGCTTTAATTTTTTGAGTAGCATATTCTATAATCTCACCACCCTCTTTATGGATTATTGACCCTAAATCAAGGATAAAAATTTTGTTTCAATACATTGTTTCGGTCACTTAGGAAACGGAAACATTTCAACATGTTTCAAAAACGTTTCGACCTGTTTCGGAAACAAATGAGAAAAATAAAAAATTTAAGAATTATTTTTTCAAAACATTAGTATAAATATACTAAGTATCTTGAAATATTTTGAAAAATTCTGAAACAATTGTGCAAATATATTGAAACATTACAAATCACCTTGAAATATTATGAAACATGTCGAAGTATTAGAATTTCAGTTCCATAATTAATTCGTTTCGGTCTCCTTGGAAACGGAAACGTTTCGGACGATTTGGTCATTTCAAAATGAAATTTTGATCATTGCCCTAAATATTAGAAGTGCTTACTCTTTGTCAAATCTCATGCCTCTTGATTTAGATCTTTACTACACCCATTTGGATTTCTACTTCTATTAAAATTACATTCCATAAATTCCGTTTCAATTCAAATTATCTTAAATCATTTTGATTTCCTCTTCAAACTTGATTATCGTCCATCTCTATTTTTATCACTCAATAGTATAGCATCAACGACAGTATAGCATCAACGACCAATATGCATCATGTAATCCTATTTTGAAAGTGCTTAGTCAATTCATTCATAACTAAAGCAAAAAGATACACATAGAAAGAAAAACCCTTTGTAAGCCTATAGTGATGGGAATTCACTATTCTAGATTTATAATCGTTCGAACAAAAGTAATTACACCATCGTACATATTCTTAATAATATCAATACACCAATTCGTAACATTTTTATCTGCATATGTTTTCATTAGTTTCCCAAGTACATAACTTCCATAGTTGACCTCCAAGGCATATTATCAAAACTAATTCTCAAATAATGTCAGTTTTAAATCTTAATCATCTTAATCGTAGTTTGATCACCCTCCCCCAAAGTATGACTCATTAATTTAATAATTCGATAATTTGTGCAACTTTGTATGTCTCTCTTAGGCTCATATAGGTAATAAAATATTTTTCCTACTCGTTAGTCATTTTCTTAAAACAACAATTACAAAGCTAGAAATCTTAATATTAGCTCTTATTCTTGATTGGAACAAAATCAATCTTATGTTGTTTCTTTTTAGGTCTTGTATCAAAAGATCCTCTTCACATTCTCCTTCATTTTCTCATATTCCAAGCAAACCACAGCCCCACCCACCCCTTCCTCCTGGCAGGTGCCCATGTCCCCTTCTCCCAGCAGCCCACTTGCCATGCAATAGCCCCTTTCCACCCCCACGCATGAGTTTTGATCATAAGCTCAAATACATGTTCACATGTAGAAAACAATTCAAATTACTACGAATTAAAGCAAGGACTAACAAAGAATGCAAATTGGTAACTATCCAAGTTGTTTATTCCGACAAGACTTCCTAATTGTTGTGCTTGAATATTGTTTTGATTTCTCGAGTTATGTCTTTTAATTCTTTTGAGGTTTGTTCCATGTAAAAGTGCTTGGATTTAGATAAACATTTCTTGTTTTCTTAAAGATAGACCAACCTCTGTGTATAAGGACCAACGTTCCATAGATCGTGGAAATTCAACTTGGTACATGGTACAGTTCTAGTATTATAGTTTCTTCGATATGTGATGCAATGGTGGTAGACTTATCTATTATATTATTTTGAATCACGATTTTCCTTGAAACTCTTTATCCGAATTGATTTCACTGTTATATGAAATAATATGTAATTACTCATTCCTAAATAAATAGTCAATTAATATTCATTTATTCTTGTGATGTGATAACATTTAATATTATAAAAAAATATATATAAGTATATTTTTACAAACCAAGTCATAATATGTGTTTTTGTTCCTTAACCAAAAAAAAATTATTTTAGGTTTGAGTAAAGAGTTCCAAAACAAGTTGTAATCCAAAATAGCTAGTGTTCCAGTTAATGTTTATTGATAACAAAAGCTAATGGTGCATATATGTATTATGGGGGGGAAAAATACTTAAACCACAACAAATAAAGCTATCAGCATAACTATCAAAGTAACAAAGAAATCAAGTATCATAGATGGTTACACCTTTGGATAAAGGGAAATTGCACCGATTTTTGGGTTATGGTAACAAAACGGGTTCAGGAATTGGGGGATCTAGCTATTTGCAAGATGTCCAAAGTGCCTGTGATCCTAATATCCCTGCTAAGGACCTACTTGTGCAAGAACAATCTTATAATTATGAGCCTCATTGTATGTATATGTGTAGGTCCAATCAATACACACATCTCATACACAAAAGAAGTATGGACACGAGACATAGACAAGACACAACACGGACGCAGATATGAAATTTTTCAAAAAAGTAGGACACAGACATATTATGAAACACGTTAAATATTATATATTTATTTCGTTATATTAGATTTTATATATATATATATATATATATATGATAAAATAAATATATTTTTATACAACTCACGTCATGATACTATCAAATAAAAAATTCAATACACATTCATCATAAATATTCATTACGCAACAATTAATGATTACTACAATTTCAAGTTTTAAAAATATCCCAAATCGTAACCCTAATTTTCATCAATTTCAAAGAGCCCCAATTGCATAATCTATTTTTCATATAGGCAGTAAACCCCACCCAAATTCCCCACTATTCGATCTCAGTTATCTTTGCCAATTCAATCCCACTCAACAAGAACTCAATTAGACACACATAAACGTATGTACTTGTATATATACAACGTAAAAGAAGATGTGTTGAATATCGATATAGTTAGGGGTATATACCAGCAGATGAGGTTGACACAGAGACAACTCGATCAAATCCCTGTTGACTGGCCTCTTCCATCTTTCCCAATTCCTATTTATTTCGCACGACACGATGAATACAAATTCAAATCCAATTGAAAGACAACAAAAGAGAAGAAATCAAATCGAATTCCTTCGCGAAATTTGTTTTCTCTGGACGCACATGTACGTGCAAAAGGGAGACCAGAGAGAGGGGGGGTAGTTCACATGTATGCTACTTGGGGGAGAGGGCCTTTTAATTTTTCAGCACTCCCACTTATTTAATTGTAAAATGATACATTTATCTCTATCCATGGTTCCATACTAATAATGCACGAACTGAATCTGTATATATTTAAATAATTTTTTGTTTTTAAAGAATTATATATAGTAAAATTAAATAATAAATTATGTTAAATAATTAATTTTATNGCATCTGTATGTATTTAAATAATTTTTTTTTTAAAAAGAATTATATATAGTAAAATTAAATAATAAATTATGTTAAATAATTAATTTTATTTTAATTATTATTAAACTTAATGATGGATATATTTTACCCATCTTTAATATCTAATTTATTATTTATTTAAGTATCTCCCTAACCCGCTAGTCTTTCTCCATTTATATTTAATAAAATTTCATTGCAAAATTGTTTTTATTGAATATTTACAAATCAAATTATATAACTGATTTGTTAATATTTTTTATCAAAGAGACTGATTAAGTTGTAATACTATTTTATTTATATTATAAAAAAATGATATTATTACATATTAAAAAATTAAATATGATATATATTAAACTGTAGAATCTAATTCGACAACTACATGTATATAATAATAGATCATATACTGGACTTTATTTATTCATATAAATATAGGCTAAGATATAAAAAAAAGTATGCAAGTGTACTACAAATAAATGAGCCTAGAAAAATTTAGAAATAAAATACTTTTAATAAAAGAGTTCAAAAAAAGTTAAAAGTCAAATAAATATAAGAAATAAAACTTTGATGAAAGTAATAAAGAATTTAGAAATACAATACCGTTAATAAAAGAGTTCAAAAAAATTTAGAAGTCAAACACGAATATGAAATTAAAATTGGATAAATGTAATATGTTTGTTTCATTGGCTTTATAATAGCTAGTTAGTGTACACGTGCGTTGCACATGAACCATTATGAGTAATATGAGACCTTGAAAAGAAGGACCCATATTTTTTCTTGGAGGAGGCTTTGACATAGCAGCCTTCGCAACTCGACTTTTATGCCAAAGAGATCCAGAGCAGTGTTACTAAGAAAGGTCTCAAGAGAATTAGGACTCAATTCTCCATTCTTGACTCCATTTTTCTGAGGATTCTTTCTAATGACGAGAGGGCATGTGATTCCCTTGAAGGTGAGGTTTGCTTCTATGAAGTTGCCTTGATCTCGGGGTTATAGTTTCCTATCCATCATTTTATTTATAATTTCTTATTTTTCCTCAACATTGTCCTTGTCCAACTTACCCCTAATAGTTGGAGGACTTTGATAGGCCTAGGAGTTCGTTGTGGCTCGACCTTAGGCGCTGGTGTATTCACCTCTATGGGGGTAATTTTACATTTATTTAGGTTAAGGTTGGCGCTAGCCCAAGCTATGATTGGTATTATCTTACCAAGAAATCTATCAGTGTCAACCTCTTAACCAAGATTCCTTCCATTTTGAAAGAATGGAAGGGTCGATTCTTCTTTGTTTATGGCTCTGTTGTGAATTCAGTCATTCCGAGCCTCTGGTGGCTAATCCTACTAGGATTGTCACTCGGTGGGGTGTTGTGCTCTTTCCTCTAGTGAACTTTCTATTGTTTCTTGAATTATTCCTCTTGCACAAGAAAATAACTGATCAACAACTTTTTTTTTTGTGCAGTTGATAACACGATCCTTCCAGAGGAGTGTCAAAATAGGATAAAGGTGGTTTAGAACCACAAAGTTAAAGATTTTAGTCTTTTGGTAACCGATGCTAATCTCTTCAAATTTCAGCTTGGGCCAACCCCTTCAAACGTTGTGGTTGCAGTTCTTGTGCCCCCCTCAAGAATAGGTTTCCAAACTTATTTCTTTAAATTATTGATTTCTTGATCAGAACTTCTGCTTGTTATCCAATGGTGTAAAATGATAAATGTTGGTCCCAAGCATAGGAAGTGTATCATGTACTAACCCAGTCAAGTACCGAGGTTGTCTCCTTAGGAAAGATGCTGGACAAACTTGAGAGTGTTGTAAACTTAAAAGTAAAATCTTTTGGATTTTAAGCAATTGGGAAAATTTATAAAATTAAATAAACAACATTAAACTAAACCGGAGGATAATAGGGTTTCATCTCATTATGAATAATAATTTCAACCTAATTTATAACTTATCTAAGCTTGTACTTAAACTCATTTAAACGGATGATAATCAGCTAAAAATCATAATTAAGCAAAGAGGTAATTTAATGATCAAATTATTTCAGGAAAGAAGTCATACCACATTGATTGTAGAGACTGTAAGCATTAATCATTCCAAAACCAATTGTCTACAACTAATCAAAGGTCAAAGGGTCCTAAGCATTAACCGTGTTTAGACCAATTGTCTACAACTAATTAAAGATATAACAAATCAATGATATTTTAAAAATTAATTAATTAAAACCATGGTGTAATTAAAACTAAAAGAAATAATGGAAGACATTGTAATTGAAAAATAGACGAAAGATTAAAAGTAAACTTGAATTAAAACTTTTATTGGAATTGAAATTGAGAAGCAATTACCATAAAAGAAATGAAGTACCATAAATGTTTGACAAATATTGAAAATATGAAGACTTATGTTTAAACCTAAGTAAATGAAAAACAATGAAAGAAGGAAGAAGAAGAACAAAGCAGCACCAACAACGAAAGGAAGAAGAAGAACGGAGCTTGGCCTTGGCGATCCCTCCTAGTGTCCTCCTCCAATCCTATTTATAATAGGATGGATCATTAGGATAATTAAAATAGCCTTTGAAATTTCCTCCAATCAACTCCCAAAGAAATAGGTTGAAGAGTAGATAAGAACCAATTGAAGCAAGAGTTCTCGCTGGAGCAAAACACTGATGAACTAGTACAACATGTATGGTTGAACCAGTAGCACTACTCTTTGTCCCCAACCTAATGGTAGAACTTAACAACAAATTGATAGAATTACATTCTGTTCCAAATGAACCAGTAGAACAACAGTGATAAACTAGTAGCACCGGTTAATGTTTCTGATGAATCGGTAGAACTTCACCTGTTACTAGTAGAACCCTATTTCTAGGCTGATGAATCGGTACAATTCCTATCAATTCAAGCACTCTTTACTTGAAAATTTTCTTTAAAAATCCTCTCTCCATGTCCAAAGCTCCTAGCTTAGTCCCATGACTCTTCAAAGCATAAAATCAACTCTAAAACTCCTTTCTTACAATGAATTTCCTACAAAACATGACAAATCCTAATAAAATGCAAACTAACTAAAACAACCATTATAAGTACTAAAAAAATCAAAGTGCAAGGTTGAAGATATAAAAACATGCAAAATAATGTTCTCAACAATTTCTAACTTTGTTTCCTATCGTTGCAATTCTTCTCCCCAAAGTTGACAAAATGGCTCTAAGAGAATTCAAGGGGTGAAAATTTGAAGGTCTTTCTAGCCCTCCTCTACCAATCACCAACAGGTTGAGATCTGGGGGATCTCCTTCAACAAAGGTTTCCCTTATAGTTTCTTTCAAAGTGATTCCTCTTCACATGGAATCCTCCCCTGACACTTCTGCGAGCAAGAAGAAAGTGAAGCTTGCTAAGGGAAAGCTTCTCGTAGTTGAACCTATTAGGACCCTTCTTGCATGTCCATCTGCTGTCAAGCATGGTGATGCCCCAAGAAGTATTTGGAATGATCCATCCTTCATCATGCAATAGTTTCAAGACTTCGTATTTTGGCTTTGAAATCTAAGAGGTGATGAAGTTAGGGACAATTAGGATGTCCAATCAGAGTTTTTATCTCGCAAGGAGGAACTACTGCAAGTTCATTCAGAATTAGAACACATCTAGTGTGACACTCGAAAACCCAAGGATCCTTGCTAAACCCGTTAATTAACCATCAACTTGCAGAATACCCGTGGGTACCATCTAACCTGATACCATGTCATTACACCCCATCTACTAGATCATAANTTAGAATTTGAACACATCTAGTGTGACACTCGAAAACCCAAGGATCCTTGCTAAACCCGTTAATTAACCATCAACTTGCAGAATACTCGTGGGTACCATCTAACCTGATACCATGTCATTACACCCCATCTACTAGATCATAACCAAAATAGAATTTTGGCAGAGTCTCCTTTGTATGAGAGTACTACCTGACAAATAACCTGTCCACATATTAACCATATGACCTTCCAAGGTCCAAATCCGAAGTTTAGAACTCAATATTTAACCATTTAAATCATACAAGGAAAGGGGCTCAAGAGGTGAGGGGCACTCAGTGTTATATTTTAAAATTTCAAGTTTTGGGAAGAGGTACTGGTACCTTTGGTATGTGGTACCGGTACCTGAGCTTTCTGTTTGCTAGGTTCCAATACCAAAGCTCACTGTTTGCTAGATACCGGTACATATGTGTCTTGGAACCGATACCTAAGCCCACTATCCTTTAGGGCACTGGTACATGAGACCTAGGTACCGATACTTGAGCCCACTGGAATTCAGGTACTTATGCCTATAAGTCTAGGTACTAGTACCTGAGTCACCCAACAGCATGGTATCGATACTTATGAACTTAAGTATCGATACTTGAGCCTAAATTTTTCCAAATTTCTCCAATTCTAAATTCATCTTCATTCAACCTCATACCATACTCAATACAATCATTCATTTACATGAAAACATTGTCAAATAGAGTCCCATTACACACTATATTAAAAATATACAAGTTCAAAATAAATTTACATATTTTATCTACAAAATGCATTTCAAAAGCCACATTCTGGCTTTGTCATTAACATGGATCCAAGTGAGGGCTGTCTATCAGCACTTGTCCAACACCTAAAATATGTTGCCATAAAGGGTGAGTAACGCTCAATAGGATATCTTTTAAAGAAACTACTCCCCAACCTAGATGCATATGAAATGTCACATGCAATTCAACAATCA